CTGACTGACTGACTGACTGACTGACTGACTGAGGGACCGTCCGTCCGTCCGTCCGTCCGTCCGCCCGTCCGTCTGTCCGTTACTCTTCCGGTCGCTCCCTGTCGCGGCTCTCGCCAGTGACAGGGGATGGCCTCGAATACGACGGCGACGACGGGGTGCGACTGTTTAGTCGGTGGCGCTGCCGCTCCGCGTTACCGTCCCTTCGGCCTTTTATCCCTTCTCCGCGGCAGCCACCACCTCTGTCACGCTCACAGGGGTTGTCCTCGTCACTCACTGCAGGCTCGACTAGTCAGCAACACCCCCGGCGTCCCACCGTTGCGGCCACCCCTATTCGGCGGATTCAAAGGATGGCGCTGCTGCCGCCGCCGATGCCGATGCTGCTGCTGCTGCTGCTGCTGCTGCTGGTCTCGTATGAGGGGTTGCACAGCTACCCCTCGAGAGTGCTGATGTCGGTCCTCGATTCCTGCAGATCGCTCTTTGTGGTTGTGCGTACATGATGCGAACGCGTGGCACGGGAATAAGTGTGTGTTACTGTTATCAGTGGCGTAGGACACGAATTCTTTGCACAGTATCGCAGTTGTTGCTAATCGACGCATTCTCATAAACGCTTAGGAACATTTTTCACGGAAGGAAAATATTTTTTCACATCAACTTCTTGAATAAAGCAGAAAAATTTATCTATAATTTTCAAATTGTTAAAAGATCGAAAATAATCTTTAATAAGGATTAATTAGGCTTGTTTTATACAAATGTATAACACTATACTGTTCTTAAATGTTTAGACGATTTACATTTTCTTTCTTTCTTTCGCTAATAAAATTTTAATTTGAGATTTAAATTATAAAGATAAATGATGTTTAAAATTAAAAAGGTTACGGAACAAACCCGTTTGACATTCTCATGAAAAAAAAATCGAGCAAAAACTTTAGATTGACAAACATTTTTCATTATAAAATAATGCGCGGGAAATAGGACTTGTATATATCAGGTAGAAATATAAATTTACGCATTATTAAAAATGAAGATATATTTAAATTAAAAAAAGAAAAATGGGGATGTAATGCAATAGCAGCGTAAACTATATATATA